TTTCTTACCAACTACGCTTGATCTGGTGACAGATGTCTGCGTAACATTAGGACATGCTATTTACCGGCAGTGGTTAGAAAGTAAAATGTAAGACAATTAGATTAAACAACCATTACATCTGGTACCAGCTAGTGACAATAGTAACTAGAAAGTGCATTTTCTGAAGAAACTGCAGTGTGAATGCTGAAATCTGAATGTATGCACTGAAATGAATTAATTGCTGAATGTTAAGTTAAAAATGTTGAATGAGCTGGAAAATACAGAATTTTTAACCTGAAAACAAAAGTGCAAAACTTTCGAAAGCTGATGTTCAGACAGAAGAAGTTGGAAAATAGCTGAACATGTTTAAAATGTAAATTAGAAAAAGATGAGTAATAACAAAATAAAATTTAGAGTCCAAAAACATCTGAATGAATATTAAGTTCATATTCTTTGAATCACTGAATGACTAAAATGTGATCCCTCCACTTGGATCCACACAGTTTAAAAAGTTTACAACTCTGAGCTTTGAAAGATACGCTGTTGGAAAGAGAACAACAATGGCTACATTTTGAGGGTAAAATGATGGCTGTAGAGCAAACACTGTGGACACAGCAGCAGTTGAAAGAGAAGTGTTTAAGATTAATCTTGGCAGAGTGAGAGACAGAGCTTGTTAAGCAGGCAGTTGTGAGCCTGGTTGCTATAGTGACTGCACCCAATGGCTGCATACACACGCACACAGACATGTGCCTCACTTCTGCTGCTTAAAATAAACAGAAAAGTCAGCCGAAACAAATCCTTCCCAAATGAAAAGTACAAGTCGTATTGACAAAATTCTTTCACCGTGAGCACCAGCAATGTCCAGTCTACCAAATTCTCAGTTTTCATGCCTGTGGAGTTTATTATATGGACGTGGTGACAGTGTAAAGACAGCCTGTACTTCTGATTTTCAAACAAACTTTCTGAGCCATTTTAACATTAGAGTCTATGGAAGAGTTGGAGGGAGGAGGCTGTGCATTGGTGACATTTATGAAAGAACCATAAACACTATAAATAATATAATAAACACATTGGATGAAAGAGGGCAGCGGTGGCTACGTTTTGAGTTTAAAATCATATCTGTAGAGCAAACGCTGTGGACACAGCAGCAGTTTTAAGAAAAGATTTTAAGATAAATTTCCCCCTCCTCCCACTCTACCAGGAGTCTAAAAAATGTACGGAATAGATAATAAAATGTAAAATAATAATAATAAAGATTAGAAGAACAATACTGTGAATGCTTTTCAAGCATTCACACTAATGATTAGTTGACTAATCGTGCATGTCCCTACTGGGAATATAAATGCACACATGGTTATCTGTTTGGAGGGTTACAAAGCCCTCATCTTTCTTTTGGCTTGATCAGCTTGCTGCATCTACATTCTGTTACCAGATGAAGTGTTTGTATTTTTGAAAAAGATGCATTTGTTAACTCCACTAATAGTTTACTTTTTCTACTGATCTTAGCCACTTGTTTTTGTGTTAACTATTTTTATAATTTTTGCAAACATATTAAGTACTCTATCCATCTGTCGGAGCTCTGCTTCTGTTCATCTCTTACCCTGCGCATTATCTGCCCGGTGACTCATTGAGCCCTAATCCTATAATGACAGAGGCTGAGCTACAAATGTTCTGGCTCACTGCTCTCCACCTCCGCCAAAAAGCCTTATGGGGACTGAAAGAGAGAGCCAAATGGGCACATAAGGGGTGTGGGACAAGTGCACCAGCAGTGCATACTTTAAGTGGACTAGTTTGTGTGAGCTTTCATCTGGCCCAGTCTAAAGACATGTTTATTCCTGTTCTTAGTAGCAGGACAAAAAAGCTGTTGTCACAGAAGTGCAAACATTACTGGGGATGCAAAATATTTCACTTAAATTTCTTCTTTTAAGGTTGGTTTTAAGCAATGTGATGTTAGTACTTGTTACATAATATAATTGTAGCAGTGAGTGCTCCTACCTCATGGTGCCTGCACAAACACGTGTGCACACACCCTGATGCTCGCTCTCACTGGCATGAGTAAGATGAGGAACCACGTGTTAACTGGAAGGAATCTTCATACAGACATAGTTTGTTCATTACTGTCATGTTTAGAAATATTAAGTTATTCCATATTTTAGTAATAACTCTCTGTTCTTAACTTGGGGATAGAACTTAAGATAAAAATGTAATGAAAGCAGAGTTGCTGCTATGTTGTTGTTGTTGTTGTTGTTTTTTTTTTTTAATTTACTCCCCAACATGCCTGCCATGGTTGTAGTTTTGATTTTAGCCTTGCCAGTGGCCCAGACCTACATTGACATCCCAGAGGGCTTCTCTGTTCAGTCACATCAGTGTAACAGCACTCAGGAAATGCTTTTAGACCATTTTTGTAATGTATTTCCATCTTGCAACATTTATTTTTCCCAAGGAACAAAGCTCAGCTCATGTTTTTGGAGGTCATATTTAAGACCTGTGAAAACATACAAATCAAGATGCTGTTATTTTAATGGAGGTTTAACATTTGGTCACCAATGCTATAAGGAAAAATTCTGCTTTGCCATCTGTAATCTCTTTATTGCACAGCTCTTTGTCAAGTGCAAATGGCCAGATGGAAACTACATTAAAATGAAAATGAAAGTATTCATTCATCGTTGTATACAGGCGCTTTGAGTACTCTGGGAGAGTAGAAAAGCGCTATATAAGAATCAGTCCATTTACTATTTACCGTTGTTTAATGTTTGATATCGTTTCATTGCTCTTCAATATAGCACATTACCAAGGCACACTCCCACTAAAGAAAGGTATTCTGTTCCCTGCCTGCTAGTATTCATGTTACCCTCAGAACTAGGGTACCAAGTGGTGCATCCTTGTGCGGTGAAGAGCCGAGCTGGGTTCTGAGTGACCTACTTCTAAGCAAAAGCTCATCAGGAGCAGCCTGGCTTTCTCCTCCTCCTTCACCCCTGTTGCTTTTCATCCACGCCCTCTTTTTTCCTCTGCCACAAATTTCCCATCTCAACCATCTTTACTCCACACTTGTCCATTCAGCCCGTCCACGTTTTTGTTTTTAATTGGACTAGGCAGAAATACCTTTAGCTTCTCCTGTAGGCTCAGGAAACAAGTGATGAGTAGAAATTGAATATTAACAGCACGTGATGTAAGAATGCCGTTTTTTGTCAATGCATTATGCATACATTTACAATAAAGGTCACAGATGACTGCTGCTGTTTTGGCTTCCGTGTTGTAAAACGTGCTTACATATAGGGCTATGCAATATGACCAAAATCTCATATCCCGATATAAGACAGCTATCATCCCGACAACAATATAAATGACAAAAATTTAACATTTTCTGTAAATTCTGTGAATCTCGGGCAGCTCGACTTGCGTAAAGTGTTTTCAGCTGGGCATCGTGTACCTGGAGTCGAGTGTTTTAACCGATGCATGAAACGATACATTTTTAGACATAAGTTGTAACGGCCGCCATTTTCTTTGAGTATTTATTACACAGAGTGCTGCGGGGAAAAGCCTGTTCTAACATTTGAGTCTAAGGTTTATTTTTTAGCACCTGATGGCTCTTTTTTTGCTTCTCATCTGTAAACACTGCATACTGTTTCACGTGATTCAATTTATTTTGAAAAGTCTCAACAGGATCTTGAGCTTTATTGTGAAAGGTTTATGTGGAAAATAAACAAGCGGAGCCACATGATGGTTTTACCGTCGTTGTTGCTAACGACAACGCATAAAAACAGTCGCTTGTCCGTCCATATTGTGGTTACATTAAACATAAGAGAAAGAGAACTTTAAGAAATTAATATAGCAACTACAGTGACCATCAAAACTAGGGCTGAGTATTGTCACTGATTTCTAGAATCGATTCGTTTCCGATTCACAAGGTCCCGATTCGATCCACGATTCAATTCGATTTGAATCTGGGAAATTTTGACAGTCAGAAATATTATAATTCAGATCAGTACATTTACATATTTTTGTATCTATAAAAAGGAAGCTGACACTGGCAAGACTTTATCAAAGGTGTGAGCATCACAGCAGATGCCTTTGTGTCAAAGTAGCTGAAGATAAAACACAGAAAAACATGAAGGGGATTTTCCTGGCCTGGGATTTTATAAAAATATTCTGCAGCACATCAAAAATGAAAGAAAACCATTAATCAACACATGAACATTACCTCTGAAGTTACAGAGGTTTTATTAGCGACACGGCTAAGCGTTTTGCATTTTGCATAATTTTAGAAAGTTTAAATTTGTTTAGTATTGAACGGCAGAAATTAGGTTTTCGTTTCGGAAGTATGTAAAACGGAAAAAAAACCAGCGGCCGACAGCGCTGTAAACAACGGTAGACTGGTGCGTAACAAGCAAGCGAATAATACAGAAGACAGACAGACAGAGAGAGAGAGAGAGCGCTGTGCATGAAGTGTGATTTTTATCGTGGTGGAAGCAAAACAGCAAAAGTCAGAGGGAATTCATGACGATGTTTATGTGAAGCGTAGTTTGGATCTTCTTTTGCTGCTGGTTCGGTCAATATTGTTTGGAGAGAGATCAAACTAACAGCTTTAGAATCAGCGCAAAAAGGGCGTGAACACAAAGCGCGGACCCGCCGAAACATCAGAATCAGCGAGCTGTCAGCTTTCAGCCCCGACCGTCAGCTGAAAAAGGCGACATCTCACTGATTCTGATCCGCGCTGTGTGTTTATGTCTTTGTGCAGAATCCATGTACCTGCTCTCATTTACTGTCTTGGCTGTTTTTCTGGCATTTCGGGCAAAATAAATTTATATTAAAAAAATCGATTCAGGATTTTAATGAATCGATTTCACGTTATCCAAGCCAGAATCGATTTTAATCGATAAATCGATTATAAAAACCCACCCCTAATCAAAACAGTGAAAAAATATTGCCGTAAACAGTTTATTTTGCGACACCACGAAACAAACGATAGCGGAAAATGAAACGATAGACGTTTTATATCGTCATCCAATATATATCGTTATATCGAACAGCCCTACTTACATATATTAGAGAACATGTTTTATATGCACTTTGAATCACCTTGTTGTTGAATTGTGCTATATAAATAAACTTGCCTTGCCTATTATATTAAGTATCTTAGTGCATTGTTCTCTAAAACTTTGCTGCCTGTTTTTGTTTTCAAACAGGATCTCTTGGACAAGTATCTTATTGCAAACGCTACAGCAGCAGAGAGTAAAGTCTTTTACTTGAAAATGAAAGGCGATTACTATCGCTACCTAGCGGAGGTGGCTACAGGAGACAACAAGAAAGGTAAGCTCCATTTCAGTATGGTGATGGTTTAGATCTTTGGCTGACTGAGATAAACTGGAATATACATATTAGATAAGATATCAGTTAACTGTTCCTGTTTGATTATAACAGACTTCTTGATCTTATGAAAGTATCTGAGTGTACTGAATGACTGTGCTCTTTTCTTTATACTATTCTTTTGTAATTATATTTAAACCTTTTTTCTCTTAACACCACAGGGACTGCACCTTATTTTGTTGACTTGTTACAATGACAATAGAGATTCTAATTCTGAAGTGTCAAAATGTCCTTCATGAGTAAGAGGTAGGATGAATGTACTAAGGGCTAAAAGATCTTTGGTAGTTGTTGTCAGTTTTTAGAAAACTTTAAAAAAAGATTACATTGAGGCATAGGTTCTCTTTTTTTTTTATTTATTTTTTTTATTTTATTTTAACATACGATACCTTTTATTTGGTCTACAGTGACCAGCTTGGATTACTTGAATATTTTTCTTGGGATCAAATCATTGTGGTCCTTTCAGAGATTTCCTACTTTTTTTTTTTTGACCCAGATGCCCCCTAGTGGTTAGGGGAAAGAAAGCATGCCAGTGTCTACAAATGAGACCGATGCATTCCCTCTTTGATGGTCTCTTTAAAGTTACTAAACTCTACTAATACTGGGAACATGGCTGAAAATTGTATTTTATACTTTTATACAGTCTAGTTTTATATTAAGTTCTGTTCTTTTTAAAATGCATAATGGAAGTCTGTGCGGGTCCCCATGGGTTAAACCAATCAGATGTGTGTGTGAACAGGACAACTGTGGTAAATGGTTTGAAAACGCCTCCTCTTTTCTGGCCTCCACCCAGCAAGAACTGTAAAGGCCTTAATGCCACAGAAAGGTGTTGCCTGTCTGTTGTAGGGGTGGGCAATTTAACCTCAAACTTGTATCATGATATTAAAAAAATAATAATAATTAAAAAAAATTGTAACATATAGGGGGGGGCACTAAATGTTTTATTACTGCTTGCATATCGACTAACAAAAAAGAAAATGCTATCTGAGCTCAGTTTTAAGTTTTCCACGTTTGTAAGTCTCACAGCTCCACTGCCCTTTCCTTTCTCTTTCAGGCATCATTTCAAATTCACAGGAAGCCTACCAAGCCGCCTTTGATATCAGCAAAAGTGACATGCAGCCCACACACCCAATCCGTCTTGGTCTTGCCCTTAACTTCTCCGTTTTCTACTACGAGATCCTCAACATACCTGAAGAAGCCTGCAAGCTCGCCAAGCAGGTAAACTCATTACTCCACATAGCTTCTGTTTATATTTCTGGAGATTTTAAAGTGCCAACTGTAATGTTATTTCTCTGCTATCAATCTTTGAGGACTCAAGTGTAAATTTGCTGTTAAATACAAATGACAGCTAAAACCTGTGTACACAAACACAACAGCTTGTTTTAGGCTATCAAAATCTCACCGAACTGTGTTTTTGAACCCTGTAGGCCTTTGACGACGCCATTGCAGAGCTTGACACCCTGAGTGAAGACTCATACAAAGACAGCACACTAATCATGCAGCTATTGAGAGATAACTTGACGGTAAGTTACATTTCTTAAATCTTACTACTGAAATGACATTTTTCTTCACAAAATGATTTACCTGACTCAGACTAAAACTTTGTGGTTAGCTCTGGTAGTCACAAATAAGTTATTTAACATAGGTCTGTATTTTAACATTCCTTTAAGATTAGATGTTAATGATTTTTGCTGTCCTTGCATGTTTGTCTCTCCTCTGCCAGGTCATTAATTCCTTTCTTCCCACTTACTGCTCCTTCTCTTTCCACAGCTGTGGACCTCGGACAACCAGGCTGAAGGCGAGGATTCAGAGCCAAGGGATTGAGCCAGACCCCCGTAGTCATCCCTGTTGTCCTGCCATTGTCCTGGCTCATCTTCATCATGATCATCAACACTGAGACCACCTCATTTTGATCATTGTCATCCAACTCTTTCCATCTTTTTTTCTATCTAAGGTCTCTCAGTACTCATCTCATTCCCATCGGTTTACTATTCCTTCTTTTTGTAGTAACTGTGGGGAAAGGGGCTGGGTAGGGGAGGGGAATTCAAGTGGTGTGGTGGGAGGGTAAAAGTGTTTGGGTTTAGATGTTTTTGGGTGTTGCATTATTAAGGTGCTGGGTGAAAGGGCAGTTTCTTAAACTCATGAAACATGCAGCAGGTTAAGTTTGTAGAAGTAAGAAAATATTTAAGCTGTATGTGCTGTACTACTCATTAACGGTGCTGTTTTTGACCATCCTTTGATGACACATCTGTGCTTGACAAAAACAGGAGCTGCCTCCTTATATTTGAGGTGACAACAACTGTGTTTGTACATGGCAAGGGGAATAACAGCAGAGGTAAAGACAGTGAAGATGTGATTGGGAGAAGGAAGCCAAGATTTAGTTGGAAGACAAGGTTACATTCTACATACTGTTGCTCAACTTTCTACTCTTACTATCTTTTTTGTTTGTTTTTAGTAGACTGCTCTTGTATTTTTATGCATCAGTTATGAGGTATAGAAAACTTTGAAGAACAAAAGAGCACGAGCACACAAGCTTGTATTGTTGCTGTTTTGTATTGGCACAGCAGTTTAAAAAAAAAAAAAGAAAAGAAAAAAGATCCATCTGCGTATCTAATTAATGCTTTTTCAAATTAAGACATTTTGTTTTGTTTTTTCCTTTTTCTCAGTACTTGCCTGAACTGCATGGTGGTAAGAAGTAGTTTTTGGAGGATTAAAGGTTGTTGTTGGGCTGGTTAGCTTTGTCTGTCTTTGGAATTTTCTTACAGGACACCCAAGCATAACTAATTTTTGGGGGAAATGTGTAATTTCATGTAAGTGGAATAAAAAAAATAATTTAAGTTTAATGTGTCCATTTCAATTGCTACATTAATGGTCTTTTAGTGCTGTAACATTTCTAGACTGTGGTTTTAGAGTGTGGGATTTGTGTTACAAGTTACCACTATACCCACCTTTTTTTCCACGCAGCAATATAAACGACATGCAGAATCTAATATGATGAATTAGTTACAAATACCGGTAAATAACTAGTGTACAACACAGACCACATCTGGAAATTGGAGATGGAGAAATTCAAACACTAAAAGGCCTTATACACATCTGAAAGCTGTTTGATGGGATTTAGAAGTACACGTGTTGTTTAGCTGGAAATACTTGAAAATCTAGATTAAGGAAAAACGAAAAAATTGTGCTGCTCGGCTCCTTGGGTGTGTCTGCTGCTCCACTACCTTAGCTGTGAGCGCCCAGAGCACAGCCATGTCAGAGGAATGCTGAGTTGCTGCCGCATCTTTCAGAACCAACCCTCCAGTGAACACGAGTGCAATAAATGACACTGGAGTGTTCCTGCAGACTTTTCCCTCAGCTTATCTTCCTTGCAGTGTGACAAAGGTTACATGTTCACTGCATGTGAAGGATAACGCTTTATATTTTAGATAATGTCTTTAGTTTTCCAGGACTACGTCCCAGTAATCAGATAAGGCAATGGCTGACCGAAACGTGATGGAAGTAGCGTTGTTTAGGACACAAGGTAGTCTCTGCCCCAAGTGTCCGTGGTCTGTGCTTTGCCACCACCTACAGCTGTATATTGCCGATCCTCGTGGGAACAAGCATACTACCACCGCATGTAACGATTTGTTCACTTGTAGCGTGACTGTGGAGTAAAGCAATAACATACAAGTATGCCCTTGTTGTTCCTTTTCCCCTCGCTTTCATAGGCGAATAATCACAAGAAATTCGTGAATACACGCCAATTAGAATACAATGTTGAAGACATAACTGAACATATAAGCCTCGTAAGGTGTAGAAAACAGGAAATCTTAAAAGTTTATGAGACAAATTATGCGTCAGATTTTTAATTGTAAATTAAATAGAGTTCAAATATCGCGAGATGTGTGACGTCAAGCATTGGTAGCAAACGCGCCGTGGTTTCGAGTGGAACAGGGAAACAACCTCCGCCGACCTTTCTTTCAATCCTGTAATCCGTCTGCGTAGGGTGTGCTCTGGGGCTAGTCTCGGCACACATTTTATTATGAAACAAACCAAAAGCTAGAGAGCACACGCAGACATATTTTTATAAGAAAAACAAAAATCGGTGAAGCAGGATTTGATTTGCCAACTCAAGCAACGCGAAGAAGACGCTGCCAACGGATAAGAAAGAAAGACGGAACGAGAAGAACGTTAGCAAGCTAAGCTGTTAGCCTCATTGTTGAAAGCGTGGGCGATTAACTTTAGCCAGGTATATTGTTAACTACTTGTTTTTTACGTTGAAGTCAGTTGTCCTTTCAGGCATACGTGTTAATTATAACATTTGTTTTGCACGCTACCGAAATTTTAGCGCTGTAAGTGATTGAGAAAATTGATATTTCAATTTGGGCCAGTCACATCGGTTAGGCCACGCTCCGACATTTTGCTAATCACGCTAACTAGCCCACGTTGTTAACGGTTAAGCGATAACTGCCTGCATTGGTGTAGAGACTGATATAATTAATCTCTCCAATCTTAAAAGGCTGATTTTGGTTGACGATTGTCCTCAAAATATCGAACTTGCAGTTGAGACGTAGCCTGAGAACACGCTTCGCCAGCCATGAATCCTAGCGCGCCTAGCTACCCGATGGCCTCCCTGTACGTGGGAGACCTGCACCCAGACGTTACCGAAGCCATGCTATACGAGAAATTCAGCCCGGCTGGACCCATCCTCTCCATTAGAGTATGCAGAGACATGATCACCCGTCGCTCCCTAGGCTATGCCTATGTGAACTTCCAACAGCCAGCTGACGGTAAGTTTACCGCAATCTATGTAGAGCATGTAAGGAAATGTGGTACTGACAGACTCCATTTTGAACATGTACCGTGCTACCTCGTTTTATCTTTAATTTTAAACATGTGCTTTATTAAATTATCAACATGCCATACTACTAGAATAATTAAATCACGAAGAAAATGGAAGTAAGTGCAACATATTTGTTTATTTGTTTTAGCCGAAAGAGCTTTGGACACCATGAACTTTGATGTAATAAAAGGCAGGCCTCTCCGTATCATGTGGTCTCAGCGTGACCCCTCACTGAGGAAGAGTGGGGTGGGAAACATCTTCATCAAGAATCTGGACAAATCCATCGATAACAAGGCCTTGTATGATACATTCTCTGCATTTGGAAACATCCTGTCCTGCAAGGTATCATCCTGTGGTGCCATTTCTCCTGGCTGTGTTTTGCATATGAAATCAACTAATTAGCATGACTAATGATTGGACCGTTTAAAGCCGGTAGAGTGTCAATTGTGTGGAATGCATGTTGTTTGTGAATGGTTTTGACCTCCTAAAATCTTCCTTCTCCAAGGTGGTTTGTGATGAAAATGGCTCAAAGGGTTACGGCTTTGTGCACTTTGAGACCCATGAAGCTGCTGAACGGGCCATTGAGAAAATGAACGGCATGTTGCTCAATGACAGAAAAGTGTAAGTGTGCCTACTGTTGTACAAGTCTGTGTTTGAAGGAGTGTGATCAAAGTTTGTGTGTGACTGCATCTTGTTCTCCTGTTTTGCTTAATGTACTTTCTGTTGTTATAGAGCTTAGTTCTAAATCGTGAGGGAACTGGGCTGATAGGATTTATTACATTTTGGTTTGAAGCAGTAAAGTTCACTTATCGCAGTAGCTCTAGAGTTATCACTCCTTATCACATAAGCTGTATGTTGTTTTCCCAAAATGCTCTCTTCAATGTCTGACCCTCATTTTACCAACACAGGAGGACTTTCACCCCATTGTATTTGATTTAAACTTTATCAGGATATATTTTGATGAAGTTAGAAAATAAATTTTGTATGTCATGTTATTAACAGATTTGTTGGACGCTTCAAATCGCGTAAAGAGAGGGAAGCTGAGCTTGGAGCACGAGCCAGAGAGTTTACTAACGTTTATATCAAGAACTTTGGCGAGGACATGGATGATGAGAAGCTGAAGGAGTTGTTTAGCAAATATGGTAAGATGGCAAGATTTCAGAGAGACACTTTTAATAATCACAAATGCTGTTAGTATGATTTGCTGTGTTGTGTGTTGATTATTAGCTCTTGTGTTTTGTAGGGCCTGCCCTCAGTATCCGGGTTATGACTGATGAAAGTGGCAAATCCAAGGGATTTGGCTTTGTCAGCTTCGAGAGGCATGAAGATGCCCAGAAGGTTAACAGCTTTCTTCTTTCTTGGGGGGCGGGGGACTTTTGGTATCTCCAGAGGCTTTGAAAAAGGCACTTGCTGTAGTTTTTTTTCTTTGAATCCACACCTAATCATGACTTTTGTTTTGTTGTAGGCTGTAGATGAAATGAACGGTAAAGAATTGAATGGCAGGCAAGTCTATGTGGGCCGTGCACAGAAGAAAGGGGAGCGGCAGAATGAGCTCAAACGCAAATTTGAGCAGATGAAACAGGATCGCATGACCAGATATCAGGTTTGTTGGCCCATTTCTTGGTTAGAGCACTTTCATGCACCACATTGTGTCACAAGAACAATTTAAAGAAAGCTATCTTGTGTCTGATTGGTGCAGTATTTAATTTCATTGCTGTGATGTTGGAGCATAACCTGAAGGACAGTAGCAGGAATGCTGAACTACCATCCAATAGTTCATTTGTTCAATTTCATTGTGATTTTCCATGCACCAGGGTGTCAATCTGTATGTGAAGAACCTGGATGATGGCCTTGATGACGAGCGTCTGCGGAAAGAATTCTCCCCATTTGGCACCATAACAAGTGCTAAGGTAAAAGCTTTGAGGGGTTTATTTGTGATCATGAAATTAACAAGGCAATAATTAGACAAAATGCTAACCCATTATTTTGTTTCCCTAGGTGATGATGGAGGGTGGACGGAGCAAAGGCTTTGGCTTTGTGTGCTTCTCTTCTCCAGAAGAGGCCACTAAAGCTGTAACGGAGATGAATGGGCGTATTGTGGCTACAAAGCCACTGTATGTGGCCCTTGCCCAGCGGAAAGAGGAGCGTCAGGCTCATCTAACCAACCAGTACATGCAAAGGATGGCCACTGTTCGAGCTGTGCCCAACCCTGTCCTTAACCCATACCAGCCTGCTCCACCTTCAGGATATTTCATGGCGGCTATCCCTCAGGTGAGTCAACAACACCCTATTTAGTACTTTTCCATGACATAAAACCCTGTTTTGGTAAACTGTACCAGTGTGCTGTGTTTTTTGGAGTAGCAGTAACTAATGACATGGCTTGATTCTTCTCAGGCTCAGAACCGTGCTGCATACTACTCTGCCAACCAGCTGGCCCAGCTGCGCCCCAGCCCCCGTTGGGCTACTCAAGGAGTGCGTCCTCAGCGTAAGTGATTACATGTAGATTATACGTATGCAGCCTTTACTTAAAAAGAGCTAAAGTCTAATGACTGTTTGCTTCCCCCCCCATCCCCCTTTTCCTTCTTTTAGACTTCCAGAACATGCCCAATGCTATGCGCCCAACAGCACCCAGGCCTCAGGCCTTAAACACCATCCGTGCAGCCGCCACCACCAACACCCAGGTCCCACGCATGATGGCTTCTCAGCGTATGCGTAAGTATTTTATCTTTGACTCGACGGGAATCAGATGCATTTAGTCTCGTCATGAGCCGATGATGAGTTGATGCAGTTTTGATCAGGCTCCTCTTGCTGTTGTCATTGCAGCCACACAGGCGCTCAACCAGCGCCCTGCCAATGCTTCAGCCGCCGCAGCCCCAGTGCGTGCCATGCCCCAGTACAAATATGCTGCTGGTGTGCGCAACCCTCAGCAGCACATGGCCTCCCAGCCACAGGTCACCATGCAGCAGGTAAGAATGCCACTGACTTTGATATCAGTGGATCTAATTCATAAAT